TGCCCATTTATTTGTGATTCTTTTTTTTTAAAGAGATATTTATTCAAGTTTTACAAAAAGAAAACGTAAGTTTACAAAATAGAGAAAATTATAACAACAATTAACAAACTAAAATTATAACAACAATTAACAAACTAAAAAACACACATAGGAAAAAGAATAAAAAAGGTACAAAATACAAAAAACAGGTAGCTGAAAAGAAGAAGTTTAAAAAGAAAATATATCTATTTTTCAATATCTTTGGGCTCATTTACTTGTTTCCTTGACCTCCTCACACCTCCCCTTTTTGTATTCCCATTTACAAAGACATTTCAGCAAATCCTTACCCTCTTTCATTTATCTTTACTCTATATCTTAACTTATTATAACTGTATATTTTCATCCATTATCCATCCGTATTTACATGTTCTTATTAATCTTGTAGCCAATACCACTTATTTTCAATCCAACATCATTTTAGCATTCATTAATTTTACAGTACTTTATTTGTGATTCTTTGGCCTTTATTTTCCCATCTATCCTCTGCCACAATCTGTACGAATATTTCTGATTGTACGCATTCAAAAACATAATCATTCCATATTTCCATATTCCATTTGGCCTTTTCTTTCCATCCCAAAGCAATAACTGCCATTCCAGCTAGAATCATAATCTTGTACAACTCTCGCTTATTACTCTTCACTTTGTTATTTCCCAGTATTCCTGAAAATAACAAATCCCTATTAACTTCTATGTTTATTTGAAATAGTCCAGAAATTACCTTTATAATCTTTTGCCGATATTCCTTAACCAGATTACATTCCCACCACATGTGTGAATATAGTCCTTTTTCCTGACCACAATGCCAGCATTTGGGACTAAACCCTTTCACTATATACGCCATTTGTGCCGGAGTTCTATACCATTTTAATAAAAAATTTCTACTTAATTCTTTATACTTTTCTATTTTAATATTGTTTATATTCTTCATCAGTTCTTGAGCCGTGTTTGGATGGATCATACCTTCCTGCTCCCATTTAATCTGGGAGAATCAAAGAGAACAACAACTACCAGACTTTTAGAAGACATCTGAAGGCAGCCCTGTTTAGGGAAGCTTTTAATGTTTGATGTATCACAGTATTTTAATATTCTTTTGGAAGCCGCCCAGAGTGGCTGGGGAAGCCCAGCCAGATGGGTGGGGTATAAATAAATTATTATTATTATTATTATTATTATTATTATTATTATTATTATTATTATCATCATCATCATCATCATCATCATCATCATTATCATTCCCCAATGGCCTCTGCTCATTGGTTCCACTCTATAATGTTTTGTTGTTCTTGCCTCTGGGATTTACCTGAATCAAGGTAGAGAAGGGCTAGGAAACCCATGACCAGAACTTTGTTCATCCTTAGTTTACTTCTTTCAGGCCAAAGAAGGAAGAGAATCTAAGTTAAATGAAAGGAAACAAGGAGAAAAATTGCAAGCTTCCTACACTGGGTGATGGTAGAACAGAGTGGGTGACTCTAACATTGCACCTGGATCCTGAAGAGTTGATTATAGGAGGCAAGTTGGCAGTGAGGGGATAGAACGTCTAGTACCTTAAGGACATTTGCCAAGTCTCTCATGTGCCCTCATAATCCACTCATAATCCACTCATAATCCACTGATTATGCAACCAAGAAACACAGGTACACATCGCCCTCATCCTCCTTTCGCACCCACCACTTTTATCTAAAATGACAGCAAGTAAAAGTAAGCCCCCGCAGACGGTACATTTTGTATCCACATCCCTCAATGCTCATCTTAAAACACGGTAAATGCATGTTCTGAAATGTGTAACTCATGACGGCAGATTGTCAAGGGTGCTCCTCAGCCAAGGAACGAACGTGGCAGAGAAATTATCTCCTTATTTTCAAAGAAAACACATGACAGTTGCTTCTACAGTTGCTCCACACCAATCTGGTATCTAGGCAGCTATTCCCATGTCTGCACTCTATGGAGCAGTTGCAGCAAAAATGGGGACCACCCCCCCTCCTCATGTTTAAGTACCTTCCCCCAACAGGCTGTGGGCATGGAGGCTGCTTCTGCTATAATAATAAAAATAATAATAATAATATTTATACCCCGGCCATCTGGCTGGGTTTCCTTGGCCACTCTGGGTGGCTTACAGCTCATAAATAATTGTAAAACATTAGACATTGAAAATTTCCTGATACAGGGCTGGCTTCCTGGTTCTGGGCTAGCTTCCTGCTTCAATCCTTTCCTGGTTCTGTGAGAAAGTGATATAGGAGAGCGTGGTCTGCCTATTCCTCCTCTTCCCCCATCTCTGAAGTTCCCCCTGCCTCTGATTCTTGCCTCCTGGCTGATACAGGTCTCCAAGAGAGGACAGACCTTACCTGTGTCAGACACCAGACACCGTTCCCCTGATGCACACTTATCGGCGTCTCATCAGTCCCGACACAGATGTACCAAGGCACCTAAGAGTAGTAGTGGCACTTAGACCATAACCCCCAACATGGGGCCGTGCAAAAGCAGGATGCACATCTTCCAGGGCTGCACTCCCCCAGAAGTCACATGACCTGTGCAAGAGCACGGCCCCTCTAAACCGGGATGTCCTGATTTAATTGGGACATTTGACGGGTATGTTAGCCATGTGTAGTCTTTGTGGGTACGAATCATTTCCTGCCACGTGATTGTGATCCCTCAAGTGTCAGAGACATGATGCCTCTGAATACCAGTTGCTGGAAACCACAGGCAAGGAGGGTATTAATGTGTTTGAGTCCTGCTTGCCATCTTCCCACAGGCAGCTGGTCAGCCACTGTGAAAGCAGAACATTGGCCTGATCCAGTGGGCTCATCTTATTATGTTATTGCATTCTTATGAATCAACCTCTGACTCTGCAAACACCCAGAATGGGAACGCATCATTGGGCTAAATTAGGGTCACAGCTAGGGATCTACAGAAATCTTCTGTATCATTCCATTTTGCTTCAGCAGTTTCAAAGGTTGTTGTTGTTTTGTTGTGCTGTGTATGTGATAAAGAGGAACCACCCTAGGGTAAAGTTGCCCTCCTTTGCTTGTCCCCGTGGCAGTTTGAGTTTGCTGGTTAACTTCTCTAATAGGATGGTTTCCCCTGTTTATCTGTTTGTTTCAAAACAGAAAAGCTTTAATAAGAGCTAATTAAAAATGTTGTTGTTCCTATTTATCTGAGTAGCCACAATATTGTTATTTTTTGCATTATTAGTTTTAGTAATTTTATTAGTATCCCCACCCAAATGAGGCAATGCGACTTACAAAAATAGTAATACTCTGCATAGTAATATTCTGTATGAAAGTTACCTTTTCTCTTGCAGGTTTTTTTTTTTTTTACTATAATGCAATTTATGAAGGCACACAAAAACTATCAGAACTAAAAAATAAACGTAACAGTTTGTAACAATAGGCAGTAAACCATTCCATTGCCAACCCGCCTAATAACCATATTTCATTCTTTTGCAATTTCCAGGTTTGGGCCCTGGAATCTCAGACCTGCAGCCCTAACCAGAAGGGATGTTCCTTTAATTTAGATTTTTGACCAAGCCAGAGAAAAATGGGCTTGAAAAGGTTGCTTGTTCTTTGAGATGGACTTCTCCAGAGCCTAACCTGTGCACACTTCTCCACCATTGTAATTTATGACACAGTGTCATATCGACATCATTACTAGCACTGCATACCCTCCAAGTGTCCCGATTTTCCAGGGACAGTCCCAGAACTACAAAAGCCCCCCTAGCTTCTGATTTGATCATGGAATGTCCCTATTTCCCCCACCAGTGCCTGCTGCTGCTGAGCTCGAGGAGGAGAATGAGCCAGTGATTTTCCTGAGCGATGGCTGTAGTGACAGCTTTGGCTGCGAGGGAGCATACCATTGCCTCTGCATGGCTGCCGCTGCCAACCTCCTCCCTTGGGCCAGCCCATAGTAGCTGCTGGAGAGTGGACATGTGGATGAGGAGAGGCTGTGGCCACTGAGGTCCAGCCCTATGTGATACACTGGCTCTGAGGGGCTGGCAGAAAGCAGGGCCACCCTGAGTGGGATGAAAGAGGGAGCAGAGTGGAGCACAATGGGTATTTATTTTCTTTTTTCTAATGCTTTGTGCTTCCACATCTAATCTTGCCCCATTCTAAAATTTATTTATTGGTGTGTGTGTTTTTCCTTTTTTTTTTTTTTTGAAATCTAACAAAGAATAAAATAAAATTGAGATGAAGGGATTTTCTCAGGACAAGGGAGGGCATGTGTGCTTTGTGCCCTTCTTCTGATAATAAATGCTCAGCGGGGGCGGAGGGCAAAAAATGGGGGGGGGTCAAGGAGGGTCAGTTGTGGGGGAGTGAGAAATGTCCCTATTTTCCTCTGATGAATGTTGGAGAATATGGAACTGCAGCAAAAATAGGTTTGTTGCTTGCAGCAAGTTGGCAACAGAGCGGGCTTTTTTTAAAAAGGAAAGGAAAGCCAGAGTCTGTGGACATTAGGGCTCTGCACTAAATTTGGCAGAGGCACAAGCCAAATAAGGCATATTCTGAGGGCTTTGGGTCTACAGATGAAACAGAATGGACTGGCCACAAATGAGATGTGGCAGGTGGAGGACATCAGGTGTGAAGGAGAAGCAGGAAGAATGCAAAGCCTGGACATAAGGGAAGTAGGATATTCCTGCCCATGGCTCCTTTGCAATTTGTTTGTTTTGCATGCATGGAAACTGTTCATGAAGCAGCACTGGCCAGAAGCACATAGGATCAGGTCCTCCAGGATCTGATTCTGCACAATGCTGTGAACTCGCCAAGTTTTTAAAGCCCGTAGTTCTGCTTGTTTTGGAGGCCAAGGAGGATGAACTCTGGGGCAGCACAGGGCAACTTGCCCTAATCTGGGGGCCACAGATTGAGGCCACAGGGTGGGTATGAGGTGCCCTGCAGGACAGTAGTAGACATCCAGTTGACCTGACTAATCCATCTTCAACAAAGTTTTATTATTCCTTTATTCCTTTATTATTCCTTGACCCAGATATTGTGATGGTTGCAACGGTCTGTGTTACAGCACAGCATATATTTTTCCAGTCCCGTTTTCCTATACCTGACGGTTTCACACTTCATAGTACAGCCCCGGTCCACATTGACAACAGAAAGCCCTGGGAAAGAAAGAGAAAAAGGCATCATGGTTATCTACTATGGCTGCAGCATGGTTACTAACAGGAGTGAACATTTACTGTATTGTCTTCAGTGCCTGTTATGGACCATTTGTTAAAGGCAAAACAAACCCAGGCATCTAATCCTATTGTGCATATTTGATTTAAACCAGGAATAGGCAAACTCAGCCCTCCAGATGTTTTGGGACTACAATTCCCATCATCTCTGACCACTTGTCCTGTTAGCTAGGGATCATGGGAGTTGTAGTCCCAAAACATCTGGAGGGCTGAGTTTGCCTATGCCTGGTTTAAACCAATGTTTTTATTTATGTTGGGTTATATCTACAAGTCCCTTATTTTCCAAGGGCAGTCTTGAATTTACAGAAGCCATCCCGGTTTCTGATTTTATCTGGGAATGTCCCACTTTTCTTTGAAGGTAAAGGGACCCCTCACCATTAGGTCCAGTCGTGGCTGACTCTGGGGTTGCGGCACTCATCTTGCTTTATTGGCCGAGGGAACTGGCCACAGGTCATGTGGCCAGCATGACTAAGCCGCTTCTCGCGAAACAGAGCAGTGCACGGAAATGCCCTTTACCTTCCTGCCAGAGCGGTACCTATTTATCTACTTGCACTTTGACGTGCTTTCAAACTGCTAGGTTGGCAGGAGCAGGGACGAGCAATGGGAGCTCACCCTGTCGCGGGGATTTGAACCACCAACCTTCTGATCGGCAAATCCTAGGCTCTGTGGTTTAACCCACAGCACCACCCGTGTCCCACTTTTCTTTAGGATGTCTCTATTTTCATTGGATAAATGTTGGAGGGTATGGAGTTATGTGACCTCTGAGCCAAGGAGATAAGTAACTATATAACCTTTAGAAGACATCTGAAGGGAGCCCTGTATAGGGAAGTTTTTTTTAAATGCTTAATGTTTCATTATGTTAAGATTGGAAAAACTGAGAGAATCAAAAGGTACGGATTCCTCCATCTCTACAAAAGCAAAGACAGCATCTCTAATCAATCCTACCAGGGTACTCACCTTTAGCAATCAGCTGAGTATAGCAGAATTTATATTGCCCAGCCCTGCAAGTTTTTGCAGCATGGACACATGTGTTATCGGTTTTAACCTTCCGACAGTAATGACACACAAAACTTCCAACAGCTAAGAAGAATAGAAAGGAAAAATATTAAGCAATGGATAAATTGAGATTGGTCCCAAGACAAACAGGCACCACCATTTTTTTTTGGGGGGGGGGTGGAAACAAAGGATGGAGGTGTGAATGACCTATGTAATGAGTATAACAATCATATTCATTAGAGATTTGTGGTATGAATGGAGGAATGAGTGTAGGCCTGTTTTTAGGATGAAGAACACTGCTCTAAAATGGAGTCTTGCTAAGAAGTGGGAAGCATTTGGGAACAATCTGTCCCTTCCAACTTTCTTGGCAACTGCATGAAAGATTGGTGGACTCATCCAAAACCAGAATTAGAAAGGGTAGCCAGTGTCGATATCTCCCCATTCACAGAGTCACTGTGCATTTTGACCAGCTTCTGTGGGGAAGTCTGACATTAGCAGCCTTTTAAAAATATTGTTTTGTACAGCTAATTTCATCCATTCACTCAAACTTCACATTTCAAGCAATCCTTTTGCTGTATAGTTGGTGTCAGGAGCAAGCTCAATCGTATCTATTTCGTATACTTGATAGTGAATGACACCAAATGTAAATGCCATCTCAGTAACAATCCTTCCTCATTAATTTAACAACACTGCTAATTTCATTCATTCCTACTGACACCTTTCTTTTCTGAGACTGCCCTTTGGACTGGTTGGTCAAAAATTAACTAAGCCTTTCCAATGTCTTTCATACTAACAATGCCCACCATATGTTGTAGGACTTACCCATGTCAACGTAGACCAGGGCTAAAAAACCTACTGCAAGAACCTTGTTCATCTTTAGTCCGCTTTTCCAAGAAATGGTTGGTGAGATGCAAAGGGTGACTCAAAGTCAAATAGAAGCACAGGTGTTATGAAGTCGCAACCTTCCTACCTTGCACGATCAGAAGAAGAACACTTTGGGTGGATTTAATTTACTGCCTGAGGGCCAATGAGTTTATTCTTTGAACCTTATTGGCAGTGAGGACATATAGAACAGCTTGGGATTCAGGTGTGTGTGTTAGGTCTCCAATGTACATGCAGAAGAATACTGTGTGAGGTGTCATTCCTGGGGCAGTCCATAAAACCCTGCCTTTGTCCAAGTTGCATTGCAAGTAGGGATGGGCATATATGTCAATTTTGGATTCTCTTCATTTCTCATTCTTCCAGTTACAATGGTACCTCGGGTTAAGAACTTAATTCATTCTGGAGGTCCGTTCTTAACCTGAAACTGTTCTTAACCAGAAGCACCACTTTATCTAATGGGGCCTCCCGCTGCCGCTGCACTGCACTGCACACAATTTCTGTTCTCCTCCTGAAGCAAAATTCTTAACCCGAGGTAATATTTCTGGGTTAGCGGAGTCTGTAACCTGAAGCGTATGTAACCTGAAGCGTATGTAACCCGAGGTACCACTGTATTAATTCAGTTGTACACATTTCTTCAGAAATGTGTGGATTGTTACTATTAAAAAAAATTCTGATGGAAAACCATCTGTATTTTATCACAAATTTATACTGATAGATACTAAGGATGTGCATGGAGTCCACGATCTGATTTGAGGGCCTGATCCAGTGTTTTTGGAGTCCCTGATCTGACCCAGGACAATCCAAGGACAATTTAAAGCATGCCATTAAAAAGGGCATGTCTTCCAACCTAAAATTGGAGTGTCGGGAAGGGCATGATGCTTTGGCGATCATCGGCAGGATCGTCCCAGAGCGCTGGAAGCATAGGTGCCATTTTGCACCGAATATTGCGGCTGCCCACAACGAAGGGCTTCAACTTTGCCCATTGACTTTGTGGGGGGCCCAGCCCCACAAAGATATTATTGTGGGTGCCTAAGCACCCACAGCCCCCTGGAGTTGGCTCCAGTGGCTGGAAGGTAGGCATTCTGGCACGATAATGCTGACAATCGCCAGAGCGCTAGACCAGAAGGTGTTTTGGCACAATCCTCCTGATTTGCTTCAAAGTGAGTGTCTTTCAGTCTGGCTCTCTGGCACGATGAATCACACCAGATTGCCAGACAAAAAAATAGGACATTCCAGGATCCAAACAGAAGTGGGGATTGGCTTCTGTGATCTGGGATGTTTCGCTTGAAATGGGACACTTGCCGGTTATGAAAGTGCGGGATGCAACAGGAGATCTGGGGCCTAGTGCAAAATATCTAGGGGCCAGCCTGCTGCCACCCAAGCCTGCTGCGGCCTTCTCCAAGTCTCCAGCTTTCATATTTTCAAGACAGAGGAATGTGTGTTGTAGGGTTTAGTGCACAGGGATGTGGCTTGCAAGGGAGCATCTAGCAGAATTTCACCACCTGTTTTCACGTCTCCTTCCTCTGTCCCTCCCATCCATAAGTATAGTTAGGGTGTTTATAAAAGCCACAAACCCAAATTAAATATTTGCCCCATCCCCCAAATTGATCCAGGACCAGACCTGGGGTGCGGTGGGTAGTCCCTGGTATGTTCAAAAGGATTTGAAAGCAAAGAGACAGGTCTATCGATTTATGTTCATCTAACAATTCAGTAAAAGGTGCTTGAAAATGCATATCATACCCAATAACATTTACTAGAGTAGGAGTTGTCAGTGAAGTGCCCACTGTGGTACACACAGAGACCTGCCGAATCCTTCTCTGCCATTTGCTAGACCTGAATTTAGGCTTGATGAAAGCATTCTGTTAAAGCCAGTGGAACGGCTTGTGCTGTGTGGTTGGTGGTGGACAGGTCAGGACAGGCCAGAAATATCCACTCATGGTAGGCCTTTTATTAGCCCATCTGATTCTAAGGGGCTGTGACAGGTTCCAAGAAAAGATCTCTAGATGACTATATGAATATAGGAGGGTACATAGAGAGATGGGGGACATTCCAATGCAGTATGTAAATATTCTTCCAGGAAAGTGTCCCTATATTTGTCTTTTATTTTTCCACATGAGTTGAGATGGGTCCTGAGATGATGGGCTCATACGCACATCCACTCGTCCCATGACTTTATGGCTTTACTAGAAGAGACAAGAACATTGTTGGTTCACTAGTCACAGCAACGTATTTCATGCAAGTAGTCAAAAGCCAGAAACTTTAGAAACCTCTCGATTTCACAGACTCACCCTCAATAGCTAGGAATGCGCACATTTATTTATTTATTTGTCCAAAGGTTATGAAAATTGCAAAAGTCTTCCACACATCACAACAGCTCTTCATCATACGTTCCAGAGATCCAGATCGTTGCACAATTCGTATCCACAGCACAACATATGTTCTTCATAGTTGTTTTTCATGATCTTGAAGGTATGACAGTCGCTGTTGCAGCCTCGGTCCACATTTGTAACTTTGCCATCTGTGGAGTGATGTGACAGAGAAAAATGCATCATGGACCCTGGGCAGATCTACACTCATGGTTTTTAACGCTAAAAATGAGTTAAGGAATGGTTCTGACAACCATATTGCCATATGACATTCTGCTCTTTAACACTGTCTGCAGAGCAACTAGGAACCAGGAACCAGGAACAAGGGAGACAGCAGGGAGGAAGCACAAGAGAACATTTCCTGTTTTGACATTTTAGAATGATATTTCTAATATCGTTCTAATAACGTTTAAAAGGTGAGTGTAGATCCAGCTCCCCTCTCCCCATCCCTACTAGCAATTTAGAAGCTGATGTGCCATGTATGTCTGCTCCATCCCTGAAGTAATATTGAGAAAAAGCACCAGATGGTGCCAAGCATATTATCCACACACCCAGCTCACATTAAGAGGGTTGAACACCACCATTTCATCCTGTAGTTCCCACACAGCTGATTTTCCTACTTCAATAAGTTCTCCTGCCTCCCAAAAAGCATCTGTTTGTCACCCATCAGATATTTCAGTGGCCTTGTAGTCTCCAATACAGAGGTGGGTAACCTCAGGCTCAGGGGCCAAATGTAGCCCTCCTAAACTCTCTCCCTCTCTCTGGCCCTTGGGACCCTGCACAGGCCACAATCCCTTTGTAGCCACACCCTCTTTCTTCAGGCCACACCTCCCTCTGCCCTTGCTTTGCATTCTCCTTGAGTGAATGTTTTCACCTCACTGCAAATGTATCATTGAAGCCTGATAATAATTCCTTCTTGCCTGAATGGAGAATAGAGAGAGAAAAACGTTTGATCATAGATGTAGAAAGAAGTCTGATGTGCAAAGGGAAATGTATGTGCGTTGCTCCACCCACCACTGGCGCATGGCCCCCAGAAGTTTTCCCAAATAGGTTGAGAAAGATTCCCCAAGTCTGCTCTAATAGGTGGCCCAGTTTCAAAAAATAATAATTTAAAATGGCTCTGGTGGTGGCCGGAATATGGTTGCTTGCCTAGTATTTATTACACCTTGTCAAGTGTGTGACAGCACCTACTGTAGCTTCCACCAAGAGAGATGGACGAACAGGAGAAGACAGTGTGGCAAGGCACCATCACACACTTGACCTTTGATGCTTCTGGCACTGTTGCTTACTGGAAGTTAGAAGGGAGAGGGAGGTGGCAGGGAGATGGGTGCAGGAATGCCTGATCACCTTCCCCTCACCAGTGGGGAAGTCAGAAGAAGGCTGCATGGTGTGTGAGCCATGTTAAGTGCAGCTTGTAGCAAAGAAAAAAGGAGGGAGATGCGCTCTTCTGAGTTACACTTAAATGGTGAGGAGTTGCAAGAAGTACAGCCTTACCTTGGTTGATGAACATATTGCAAGTCGAACGTTTTGGTTCCTCAATGCCGCAAACCCAGAAGTGAGTGTTCCGGTTTGCGACCATTCTTTGGAACCTGACTGTCCAACGCCGCTTCCGTGGCTTCCGATTGGCTGCAGGAGCTTCCTGCAGCCACTCAGAAGCTTTGCCTTGGTTCCAGAGGTAGAGCTAGCTCCTCCGGGACCCGGAGCCGTGCACATGCTGTGCACCCGAGGACGGGACCATGGGGGCAGGGCGAGCATCCCAGGGCGCAAGCTGCCTATGGAAGGCTGCTTCCTGGGTGGGTGGGGACGGAGCCGTGCTGCTTTGCCAGCAGCCTTCCTCCCTTCCCTCTTCCTTTTGACAGCTGCAGGGAGGCCCCCCCCAAAGAACCCTGGGAGTAGGTGGCAATGGCACACCACCTGCCCACCACTCCCAAGCCTCCCCCAAGCTGTCAGAACAAAGGGGGAAGGGGGTAAGGCTGCTGGCAAGGCGGCGCTGCTCCGCCCCTTCCCCCAGCGGCTCGGGGTAGGCTTGGGAGTCGTGGGCGGGCAGCACACCAAATGTCACCCCCCTCAGTGATGACACCCGGGGCAGACTGCCCCCAACGCCCCCTTCCTCCGCCCATGTTTGGTTCCCGAATGTTTTGGAAGTCGAACGGACTTCCAGAATGGATTCTGCTCTACTTTTGAGGTACCACTGTAATCATAATTGGAGGGTGGGGGCCTTCTACATACGAAGCAATCAGGGAGCAAGAATTTGAGCCGAGTTGGCACCACTGTTTACTGCACAAGAAAGGAGTTTGTGGGGCAAGGGCCCTCACCTTTTAGCTGCTCCACTAAGCTGTGGATGCTGTGTCTGTAATTTCTTGCTTTTCAGATCTTGCTCTTCGGCCAGCCACCCTTCCTTGCTGCCCCACCTGACATGCCAGCAGCTCTTGCTCTCACTCTCCCACTTCTGCCAGCACAAACTCTTTCTCTCCCCCCCCCCGACCCACCATTTGCCCGCGCAAGCTCTGCCTGCCCATGGCTCCACAGTGGGACAAAAAAGGTGGTGGTGGGGAATGAAGTACAGTGGTACCTCGGGTTACATACGCTTCAGGTTACAGACTCCACTAATCCAGAAATAGTACCT